AAAAAAAAAAAACAAAAAAAAAAATCTGGGAATGGGACCTGTGTTATCCATATTTTTTAAAACTTTTCAGGTGATTTCAGTCAGGTTTTGACAATGCTAACCAGAGCTTCTAAAACTTTAATGTGCATAAAAATCACCTAGGGGCTCTTGTTTAAATAGTTAAAATTGAGATTCTGATTGAGGACATCTAGGTGATGGTCTGAGATTCTGCATTTTTTGGCAAGCTTCCAGGTGATGCAGTTACTGCTGCTGAGCTTCAGACCACACTTTGAGTCATGAGGCTGTACACTGTGCTGTCCTTAATGTTTCAAACGCACCACTTACCATTACTAGTCAGATGAGGGCAGAGGTGCCCCAGAGCCTTTCTGTAATAATATCATTAAAACCTTGCTGCTTTGATCTTTAGATCCCACAAAAGTTCACTCTGAAAATTCTCCCCATGTGCTCTCCCCTCCTATCATATACTCACTGGCAAGCTAGGCGTAGATTCTGGAGCAAGCAGTGAGGTGTGATCAAAATGATAAGGAAGAGAGTAGCTGGCTTGCTTCTCTGCCCAGTTACCGTGGAGGTTGGGGGAGACCCTGGCTTCCTTTTCTGTTTTTAAAAAATTGCTTTATGGACTCCAGGAATAGATAATTATGTTCTCATTCTCAAAACTTTAATCATACTACCCCCTACCACCAGTTCCCTCTTAAACATGTGCCTGCTTGTCTCTAGGGTCAGAACATATTCTGGGACATGGCGGTAGTCCTGAAAGCAACTCAGGAGGCACCTGCTGCTTCACCCCTTGGCAGCTACTCATTACCGGGGACTCTGACCAAGAGTGAGATACAGGAGACTCATGGGACCATGAGCTTTCTAGGTATGGTTCAATTCTCTGATTCAGAATCTGGCCTTTGGGGTTTCTCAGAATCTTTTCAGAGACTATGGTGTGCATCCAGTCTCCAAGGTTGGGCAACAGAGTACTGAGGTGTTGAAAGTGTCAAGGAAAGCTGGGTGGGAGAATGATGAAATGCCTGTGCCTTTGTTATGGGAAGTGGCTTATTTTGCACACAGGCTCAAGATACTAGACAAACATAGGTGTTGTGCTGAAACCTTATCAACACCAATATGGCACCATGTTCAAGAGGCTAAAGAAGAGACCCAGAGCCAGCAAACAAGACATGGAATTTTGCTAGACGTTTATGTACAGGGTAGAGAGTCTAATGGCAGCTGGCTGGACATAGGAGAACCACATGGCCCAGCGGCACAGGCTGGTCAAGAGAACTGCAACCACTTACAAAAGGCATGCAGTTTATCTAGCATTTTCACTTAACACGCTCCCCCTAATGACCTCCACCTGGTAGCCTTAATTTAGCTCAAAACAAGGGGCCTCAATCCCCTGGAGGGCTCACATTCCACTGAAAGGGGTGAGGAATGGATAAGGAATGGATCTCCAGGTTGGCCACTTCTAGAATCCTTTGCTTGAATTCCAAACTGCATTCAGGTGTGTGTGCCATACAGGCTTATTCTCAGGGTATGCTTAAGTTATTGCTATTATGTATTTACCATACAATAGGTGAATTCCAGATTCACTTTTTAGTGAGATTTATTGTTCAGTGAGTTTCATCTCTGTGTACACATGTAGTCACATGTCCTCTTTATATGCTTTGTAGTTAGCACAGGTTGGTGAGGCTGCAAGAAAAGCTAGCTAAGGTAGGAACAGTCAACTTTTGTGGTGATTTTGAGCAAATGCCCTGGAGATGTTCTGTTTTCATAGATCTTTGTGCAAATTATAGGGGATTTTGAGCAGCTATGTCAACCATAATGATGTTCAAAACTAGGTCTTCATGGAGGCTACTGATGGCTTATCACCTTGTTCTCTCTAACTTAGGACTCGGGGAAAGTGTATTATGTCCTAAATATCTCAGTGGCAGTGGCAGAAGCTTGCCTATGGAGGAGTGACATGTAAGTGAGGGTCAAGAATGCAGTAGCCATGAGTCCTGTGTTTCAAAGCACTTATCAGATGACTGCCAAGCCATATTCTTTTTATGAGTCTGCCAGAGATTGAATACTTTGAACCCACTCTCCTCCCTAGCCAGTTCCTCAGGCATCTGGGGACCAAGTCACTTTCTTAAACCAGTCCTATGGGGAAGACTAGGATCTCTGCCTAGATTTTCTTGTCTCGTCTTTAATTATTCCCAGACTCTCAGCAACTTCTGTTCCCCACCTTCTGCTTTCTGTTCCAGTCTCTCTGGTACATTCCCCTGTGTGTCACTTACTTTCTGTCTCTTTGCTTTATCAGCCATTCATAGTCTTAACCTCAACAGTTCGACATCATCAGGGATGGCCTCCCTTTTTCTACTTTGCCTCTTACCTCAAGACCGAGTTCATACCCAAGACTTAGCATTTTGTGCTGCCAGCTATTTCCATAGCGATGGCAGGAACACTGCCAACACTATTTCCATGGTGATGGCAGTAGGCGATGGCAGGAACACTGAGCTCCACGTGTGAGAGACATCTTAGTGGGGTTGCTGCCCTACCTGTAGTAACTCTGTGGCTTTGAGTAAGTCCTTTCTCTCTCTGGACCTTCATTTCCTTTTCTACAAATTGTGTGTGTTTGTTCATTAAGTATAGGATTTGTTGGCACCCTCCTTCCTATGTGCCAGGCAGTGTGATAGGTGCTGGAGATGCAGAAATGAGTAAGACACAACCTTACCCATTTTTTAGCTCCCACACAATTGAAGAAGAACAGTTTCATCTTCATAATGAAATTGTATAATATACATGAAAGTACTTTGGAAATTGTGATGTTACTGGGTTTTTAGTATCTGAGCAAGTTTTAACTACAGTTTCCATATTTTAACTAACGTTGAATTTATTAAAGTTTATTCATTTAAAAACCAATTTTTAAGCTATTAGGCATATTTTTTTACTTCATCCATACATCTAGAAATATTTGTATAAAAGGGGTTTTGCTCCTGTTGCTCAGGCTGGAGTGCAATGGTGTGACCTTGACTCACTGCAACATCTACCTCTTAGATTCAAGTGATTCTCCTGCTTCNAACTTTTTTCTTTTTTTTTTGAGATGGAGTTTTGCTCCTGTTGCTCTTCTTGCTGAGGCTGGAGTGCAATGGTGTGATCTTGACTCACCGCAACCTCCACCTCCCGGGCTCAAGTGATTTTTCTGCCTCAGCCTCCCGAGTAGCTGGGATATTTGTATTTTTTCTTTAATTCATGTTCAGTTAAGCTTCAAATTTTACAGATTTAATTTTTTAAAACATTTCAGCCAGGCACAGTGGCTCACGCCTGTAAATCCAGCACTTTGGGAAGCCGGGGCAGGCTGATCACCTGATGTCAGGAGTTGGAGACCAGTCTGCCCAACATGGTGAAACCCTTTCTCTACTAAAAATACAGAAATTAGCCGGCCGTGGTGGTGTGCACCTGTAGTCCCAGCTACTCTGGAAGCTGAAGCAGTAGAATCACTTGAACCCAAGAGGCAGAGGTTGCAGAAAGCCGAGATTGTACCAGTGTACTCCAGCCTGGGCAACAGAGTGAGGCTCCATCTAAAAAAATAAATAAAATATTTAAACATTTAATTCTACCTGCTTATTACATTTCTTTATATAAAACATAATTACAAATTTTATATCTTTAGTTCTTTAAAACATTCCAAACACCTAACTGGGCATACTTACAAATCATGTAAGTAAGATTTTGATAAACACACAGCTTTTATAAATGTAATGAATTGGACTTATAAATTTAGTAAATCAAATTACCCTTTTTACCTCACAATATAGTCACCAGCTAAAATGTCAGGCTCATGTAGCATTTCAGGTCTCTTTTTAAAAAGAGTGAAAGAAAAGTATTGATTTCAAAACTATGGCTATGCCTATGTTCTAGTTGGTCACAAATTAGTTTTTGCTTTAGTTTCTCATTATTTCTGTACTTACTTAATTTCTCTAGAGCTACATGTAATCCTACATGATTTAAAAAAAGGAAAAATACCATTTCAAATAAGCCAAAGTTATATGCTCAGATTATTTGCCGATTAATCTTTTCACCCAAGGAGATTTGAACTTGTCTACACCAGATAGACCCTAATTCTCTTTTCTTAGACTCTGGGCACTTGCCAAGACCCTAGGTCTTACTTTACTCAGTGATGAATCACTTGCATGAAAACCTTCTAGGCTACAGTTGCACCTGGTTTTGTAATGGTTTTGACATAAGATTATTCAAATAGAAGGAATTGTTTCCACGATTGGCTCTAATCCATTTAGTAATTCCCATTGATCTTCATTTTTTATGCCTAACATTCTAAATCTCCCAGGAAGGAGGGTAGGAGTGAAGGTCTGGGAGACAGTACAGCTGTGAACTGAAGTTTTCATGGGCTCTCTTTCTCTTGGAGAGATGCCCAGTTGGGGGATGGGAGGCCCAGGTATCAGTGATGGGGGAGTTAAAGCAAAAGAGGAAGTGAAAAGAAGCAAGGAAGGAGACTTTAGATGGGAGAAGAATAAAGTGGGATGTAGGTGATAAAGAATAGTAGAGAGCATCAAGTGAACAGAGCAGTCAGCAAAAGAAAAAGAGAAGAGACATGAAACTGTATATGGAAAAATTCAAAATATTTCACGCACAAAAATTACAAAAACAGGAGAGGAGAGAGATGAAGAGGCAGTAGTAGGTAGAGGTAACAGGAAAAAAAAAAGCAGAAGATATAAGAGCAAGTAAACTACAGAGAGAAAAATAGTACGTTTTTTAAAAGTGGCTAATCAGAACAGTCGGAATAGAAGTAACCAGAAGAAGTATAGCATTTCAGATGTTTCTTTTTGAGACAGTCTTGTTCTGTGTCGCCCAGGCTGGAGTGCAGTGGCACGATCTCAGCTCACTGCAGCCTCTGCCCCCTGGGTTCAACAGTTCTCCTGTCTCAGCCTCCCAGGTAGCTGGAACTACACGCATGTGCCACCACACCTGGCTAATTTTGTATTTTTAGTAGAGACGAGGTTTCACTATGTTGGCCAGGCTGGTCTCAAACTCCCAACCTCAGGTGACCTGCCCTCCTCAGTCTCCCACAGGGATTACAGGCATGAGCCACCACTCCTGGCCAGCATTTCAGATTTTTATTGTCATAGTTGGGGCTTTATTATATCCACCACTTGGGTGTTTCTTTTCTCTGACACTGCTCATCTTGTCTGAATGATTGTGATAGAATTTCTGATTACCATAGTCCTAACCAGGCAATCAAACCAGGCTGTTTTCCTACCTCCAGTATTGCTTTGTACCACCCAACATCCTTGTCCCACCCACTCGTATCACTGGTTAGATGGTCATCCTGTAGGATATTTCCCTCTCATGGGTGCTAGACTCACCCCTGTGCAGTTGCAGCAGTTATAACCTGAAGCTCACAGCACCACTGCTCATTTCTGAGCTGACATCACCAGTAGGAATACTTCCCTCCTCTACAGGCTTGCTACTCATCCCTGTTACCCGTTATTTCACTTGCCTTATTTCCTGAGCTTGGTTTAATTGACAGACACTTGTTAAGGGTTCACTGTGCCAAACCTGGGTTACATGGGTGCACATTTCAAGGTCAAGGATGGTGAGGGTAGAGAGGAGACAAACATAAAGTACTACTACAGTGTTACTGATAGAAGGACTCCTTTTTGACACCATTAGTTTCTGAAGCAATGGAAAGCATCCAGAGACTAATCAGTGTCATAAAGCTTCAGGGAGTTTTGATGTTCTCCTGGTATTTTCTGGCATCGTGGACCAGGCTATGCTATAACTCAGCAAGGTCAGCTTTCCTTGACACAGTGCTAAGCTATTTCCATGACACAAGGGTAAGAGTTTGCTATGTATGGTTTATTTTTTAATTCTCCTAGTGTAGCTGTCTGTCACCACAGCAACTCCCCTCGCCTAAGGGTTCATCTTTCCTTCTGGCCCGTCACAGCATCATCGGTCAGCCTGAAAGTCGCTGCACACATTCAGAGCACTGTGTTCCAGGCAATGTCTAAGTAGTTGACATAGAGTAACTCCATTAATCTACTCACGGCCTTTCGAGATAGATACTGTTAGTATCCCTGATTGGGAGATCGGGAAACTGAGACACACAGGAGTTAAGTTGCCCAAAGTCATGCAGCTAGTTAGTGTCAGAGCAGAGATTTGAAACCAGGCAGTCTGGCTCTAGAATCCATGTTCTTAACCTGTATGCTTCATGGCCTTGCAGTGTTTTGTATGCTTTTGGCTGCTGTGGCTGTCTTGGTAGCCAGTGTGACCCTTTCTGTCCATGCTTATCCTTTCTTTGATATCCAGCATCCTCGACACAGAAGCCTCAGTTGCCAGATCTTTCTGCTTACAGGTAGCAAGCCTCCCTAATTAACTGGTAGGTTGTAAGCAAATCCACACTAAGGTAATGTAAGAAGGCAAACCTAGGGAGAGGCTGGTGTCCTTCATAACTGGTCTTCATTGTAAGATCAGTCATCAGACAGCCAGGAGGAATGCTGTCTGGAAATTGGGCCTCCCTGGCATGAGGCAGTGGGGTTAAGCATCTAATGAAGGTAAGTGGAAGTGCTGGAAAGACCATGAGACAGTGGATTCTGCTGTAGGTAGCGGGGCAGGCACAGCCCCAGCTGAAGAACCCACAGAGGACAGGTAACATGTGATGGAATTTTTTGATGTGATGAAGCCATTTTCTGGAGGTGCTGAAATCACACGCTTCTTTTTATGACTTGATGATCCTATTCTTTTTCTAGGCCAGAGAAAGCTAATGTTTGTATTTTCTGTTTCTTGGTTCAGGTGCTGAAACCAAGAACCTACAGTTAATGGTTCCAAAAACTGAGATATGTGAGGAAGCTGAAAAACCCCTCATGATATCAGGAAGAATCCAGAAAGCTGATCCTCAGGGACCTGAGTTAGGAGAAGCTTGTGAAAAAGGAAGCATGTTAAAGAGACAGAGAATAAAGAGAGAAAAGAAAGATTTCAGACAAGTGATAGTGAATGACTGTCACTTACCTAAAAGCTTCAAAGAAGAGGAAGATCAGAAATGTAAGAAATCTGGGGCAAAATACAGCCTTAATTCTGGAACTGTTAAAAATCCAAAAACCCAGCTTGGGCAAAAGCCTTTTACGTGTAGCGTGTGTGGGAAAGGATTTAGTCAGAGTGCAAACCTCGTTGTACATCAGCGAATCCACACTGGGGAGAAACCCTTTGAATGTCACGAGTGTGGGAAAGCCTTCATTCAGAGTGCAAATCTTGTTGTGCATCAGAGAATCCACACTGGACAGAAACCTTATGTTTGCTCAAAATGTGGAAAAGCCTTCACTCAGAGTTCAAATCTGACTGTACATCAAAAAATCCACTCCTTAGAAAAAACTTTTAAGTGCAGTGAATGTGAGAAAGCCTTTAGTTATAGCTCACAACTTGCTCGGCACCAGAAAGTCCACATTACAGAAAAATGCTATGAATGTAATGAGTGTGGGAAAACATTTACTAGGAGCTCAAACCTCATTGTCCACCAGAGGATCCACACTGGAGAGAAGCCCTTTGCCTGTAACGATTGTGGCAAAGCCTTTACCCAGAGTGCAAACCTTATTGTACATCAGCGAAGCCATACTGGTGAGAAGCCATATGAGTGTAAAGAGTGTGGGAAAGCCTTTAGTTGTTTTTCACACCTTATTGTGCACCAGAGAATTCACACTGCAGAGAAACCTTATGACTGCAGCGAATGTGGGAAAGCCTTTAGTCAGCTCTCTTGCCTTATTGTCCACCAGAGAATTCACAGTGGAGATCTTCCTTACGTGTGTAATGAATGTGGGAAGGCCTTCACATGTAGCTCATACCTACTTATTCATCAGAGAATCCATAATGGAGAAAAACCTTACACATGTAATGAGTGTGGGAAGGCCTTCAGACAGAGGTCAAGCCTCACTGTGCACCAGAGAACCCACACGGGGGAGAAGCCCTACGAATGTGAGAAGTGTGGTGCAGCTTTCATTTCTAACTCACACCTCATGCGACACCACAGAACCCATCTTGTTGAATAACAAGGAAGAAAGAGGAAGACCTCCAGCATTGGTCATAACGTTCTGCATCCCAAATGAGACACCTCTGCTGTTTCTTCCTCCTTTAGAAAAGCGAGGCCTATATCCTTAACAGTTACAGTTTTCAGGAATGCAGCACAAAATACAAGATAAGCATTTCAGAGGCTAATTTAAAGAAAACGAAAGTAAGCACCTAAAGGCAAGGACTTTGTTTTAACTGTACCTTAAGCGGTCATATTTTCTGAAATGGAATGTGGCTTTCTTAGGAATGGGTCATACAAGGCTAAGTGGTAATGATGCTGTTTGGGGAAGGTCTTTTTTGCTTAATTTTGTTTTTTAAAACTTTGATCGTTGCTTGAGCAACAGGCAGGTTATTTGCCTGTTTGAATTCTGGTTGAACCATGTATTCTGGTATTTCTGGTTAAGTGGTGACTAGGTAAGGAAACTACTTGGGGTAGCAATTCAACAATTCATTTATGAACATTTATAAGCTTTCCATTTCCTAGGTAATTTTTTAAAAGCCAGTAAAAAAAAAAAAAAAACTGTCTACTGTACCTAAAATGGACAGAAAAAGGAAATGGCCTTTTTCCTTACTGTCTATACCTCCTGAACCTTGGTATTGTAAAGCTCTGGGGATCTCTGAGTCTGTTCTGACCAATTCCTAGTCTGCATGGCCAAGCACTCAAGAATTGATGGACACCACACACCAGCTATATGTTTGCTAAGATCGACAGCTCCTTCTCCAAACTACTCAAACCCCTAATTCCCATCGCATTCCATTTGGGTGAGATGCAACTAACAGCCCCCTTCCTGGATAAAGGAGTCAAAGAATAAAGCTTGCCTAGAGGCATGCCCCAGTTGTCTCTGCTGTCATTCTGCTCAACTCCAGCCAGGGGTCTCAGTTTATCAGTTTAGGTTTCATTCTCACATTCTGGATGGTGTTTAGAAGAAATGGTAGAGTTCTTCTCATTCTGAGAGGACAAAAGAGGGAAAGTGAAGGGAGAGGGGAAGTGGAAGTAAGATTCCTAAGGTCTTAATTTGTTTTTTTGAGAAGTTCAGAGGAACTGGAATATGAAAACTTTTAGAAGGATGAAGAAACTGGCTAAGGTAAGATATCTTTGTTACCATTGAGCCTTTACTCCTGGAAAAATGATTTATAAAACTATGCAATAGGTAGAGTTAGGTAATAATATTGTCTTGTGTTTATATAGAACTTGTATTCCTTGTTGTATGTGTACCCTCATGTATTGATCGTGATACCTGGCACATATCGCACGCTTTCACATAGATCACTACCTTGGTCCTTACAACACTGAAAGAGGTGGTTGCCCGTTTACCTGAGAATGGTAATTTAGTGCAAGGCCAAGTAACAAGTGACAGCCTTATATCCAAGTCCAGGACCTGAATCCTGGCTCTCTGTTCTGACTCACTACTTACCTAAACACCTGTAATTCCCATGCAGACCTGTGGGGGAGACAAAGTATGTAGTCTCACTTTTCAAGTGAGGATGCTGATGTGAAAGATTTTGGGGTGTGCTTTAGGCACTGTGACCAGAGAGCAGCAAACCTAAGACTAGAATTTGGGTCTCCCGATTTCTGGCCCTATCCCTGTTCCAGTGCCTTAGGGCATGCAAGAGCATTTATCATAAATGCTGAGCCTGATGCAGCTCTCATGCAGAAGTCCCATGCATTCATTATCACATTTCTACAAGACCAAATATTAATCACATAGTGTTTTCTAGTTTACAGAGAACTTTTTTTTTTTTTTTTTAGTTGGAGTCTTGCTCTGTTACTTATGCTGGAGTGCAATGGCATGATCTTGGCTCACTGCAACCTCTGCCTTCCAGGTTCAAGTAATTCTTCTGCCTCAGTCTCTGGAGCAGCTGGGACTGCAGGTGTGTGCCACCACACCTGGCTAATTTTTTTGTATTTTTAGTAGAGACGAGGTTGTAGTATGTTGGCCAGTCTGGTCTTGAACTCCTGACCTTACGTGATTCACCTGCCTCAGCCTCCCAGAGTGCCAGGATTACAGGTGTGAGCCAGCACGCCTGGCTTACAGTGTACTTTCACATACAGAAGGCATACACAAGAAAGCTTATTAATTTCCTCTTTTTCCTCCTTCCTCTAGCTTTTTTGTCAAAACATATACAACTTATTTTCCCAGTTTCACTCTAAATCATAGAGACAGAAATACAGGAAGTCAAAAAGATTCAAAGTAGGATCAAATACTCATGCCCTAACCAATCCTAACAGTGACTGTTCCAGTCTCCCTGACGGAATGGAGAGACCCAAAGATAATGCGATGTGTCTCTGCTGAGAGTAGGAACAAGTTAATTTTTTTCCCCAGACTTATCAGGAAGCTGAGAATAGCAGGAGAGCACGTCTGAAGATTTGAGATAACTGTGACCTTGACCCACCAAGAGACCAAAGCTACTTTGCTGAAAGAATAACAGCTGGGATTTATGACCATTAAGACAGTTAAACCATTCTAGTATCACATATGTTTATCCTCATAATTGAATACTCAATTATAGATGATTGTGATTTTCATTCATAGGTAGTTCAGAAAAGCTACCCAGTAGATTATGATGCAAAACTAGGTTTGAGATTCACTGACCCAATCTTGCAGTAAAGTAGTAGTTTTAAACCTTGGCTTCACGTTAAAATCACCTTGGACCCTTTTTTAAAATTTACATTTCTAGACCTCAGTATTTTTTAAAACTCTGGAGGGGATTACAATGTACAGCAAAGGTTATGAACCACTGTAGCAAAAAGTAAAGGCTGCAGGCCAAGAATGTGTGTGATCAAAGGTGGAGGGGGTGGGGGTGCTCCAGTGTAAAGATCTGTATGTGCAAAGCATTCTATGTAGTTTCAGCAAAATAGGACACTTACTTTACACTGACTGGACTAGGTGTCCAAGAGTGCCTTTGCCAACCGTTGGATGTTAGAGGATTCTGCCACTTATTTGTATTTAAGTGAATATACCAAACATTTTATTTATATGAGCAAACCAAGTTTTACACAACATACTTTTGGTACGTATTATGACTTTTTACATTTCTACTTGGATTTCATCTCTAGGTCTGAGTTTCCGCAAACCTGCATCCAGGTTCAGGGCCTCTGATTCTGCACAAATCATGTGAGCCAAGTGGATTGATTGCTAGACAGATTGGATCCTTCCCCAGCTAATATCTCTCCATCTTAATTCCAAATAAATTGGAATTATCCTTCCCCAGCTAATATCTCTCCATCTTAATTCAGAATAAATTGCAGCCTGCCATTTTCTTTATGATTTATAATAAGGGAGGAGTGACTGCCTTTTGTCAGTTTGCTTAGGTTCCTATTCGTTGGGCTCATCTCCCATCTCTTTTGGGTAGTCTTGCTAGAAGTGGTTGGGAACTCTGAAGCCCCATTTTCCCAAGTTGCTGAGAGCTGTCAGACTTAGCTGTCCAGAAAAGAGCTCTGTTCCAGGCCTAGTGATTGTCGTTAAGAGTAGAGCCAGAAAAGTCTGTCCTCATCCTCAAATGAGACCAACAGACATATATTAAGTGGAACACAGTGATGCAAAACTGATGGTGAAATCATGTACAGTACTCTGGGAGTGCAGGAGAAAGGCTTCAATTCCTAACACACACAAAGTTACAGACTCAAACACAGCCATAAATTCCTCCAGGCTTATGAAGAGGTGTCTTTGGACAAAGCTAATTCTTCATCTGCCCTGGATCCCCTTCCTTAGGTAGTGGTCCTTCTCCCACATCTGTCGCCTATCCACTTGCTCATCCAGTGTACGCACTGCAACCTTTCTGGGGTTGCAGCCCCTTTGGGAATCCATTGGAGATTGTGGATCCTCTTCCCCCAAGAAATGGATGTTGCACATCAAATCGTGCTCGCTTGGGGGTCATGCAGGCTCTCTGAAGCCAATATATAAATCTAGGGCCTTAAGTCTAATCTGGGGATACATTACATAATCACCAGTGACGTTTTTTTTAAATGAAGTTAGGCCAGACAGATAACCTTTAAAATTTGTTTTTCTCTTGGATTCCTTCCCTCATCAAATGACATTCTCCCCACTACCTAGGGCACCCAGATTGAATGCCCAAAAGGCATTTCTGCCTTCCTGAGCATCACTCATTGCTTAGAAAAGTATTTTGTGTTTACTTTGTGGTGAACATCATGCGAGATTCTGGAGTGCCAAAGCAAACGTGGTCTGCCCTGCCCTGTTATGTCTGTTGTGGGAAAAATACCAGGATTCCTAACATGATTTACTGAGCTCTTAATCTCTTTCCAGGCTCATCTCTTCACTTTCAGGTACCTTTTACTGAGGCCTAGAGGCACGTGCTTGGTCTTCTCTGTGCCTTTGCTCACACTTTTCTTAGTTCCTGTAATACCTCATCACTACTTCCCACTCAATCCCCTTCTACTTTTGCAAGCTTAAGTTTCTTGTAATATTTGGTTCAAGTTCCATCTCTGGGAAACCCCTGACTACCTTATGGCCAAAGGCGTATTCAGAAGTATATTTATTAATACATGTATACAAGTGTACACGCTGTGTATCCAGAGATTTACTTTTTTACTTTAAAATGAAAATTTTGGATTAAAAATTGTGTGTATAATACAGTTCTCATATACTATTGCAGTGATATATACTATATACTATTAAGAAGTATATAGATAAATTACCCAAAGGAAATAAGAAAATAAAAGTGGTTAAATGACTTACAGCCATACAGATGGCTAATTACAGGCTTAGATTCAAACCACTATACTCTGGATAATAGGATTATGGGTTATTAAAAGGGTTTCGCCGGGCGCGGTGGCTCAAGCCTGTAATCCCAGCACTTTGGGAGGCCGAGGCGGGTGGATCACGAGGTCAAGAGATCGAGACCATCCTGGTCAACATGGTGAAACCCCGTCTCTACTAAA